AGACTCAGACAGACCCATCCTCAAAGGTACATGAGCATTCTGTTTTGGGTTCATTTGGCATGTCTTCCATTAAAGATATTAAGAATTCTTTTCAGATGTTAATGCTCAAATCTGTATCTTCTTTCATTAAGTTCTATTTATATCCTTTGCCAGTTATTTTATCAGGCTATTTATCTTTTTAGTATTGAATTGTAAGATTCCATTATATATTCTCAATAAAATTATAAACAAAGCAAAAAGACTGAAAGCTATTTTACTTCTAGAAGAAAATGTGAAAGGATGTCCTATGAACTTTGAGTGGCTAAGGAATTCTCAGATTAGACACAAAAGTATAAAATGTGAAAGAGAATTAACAGCTTGAATTTAATCAAAATAAAAAGCATTTCTCTTTGGTACTCACCATTAGGGAAGCCACGCATCATAATAGTAATCTGGCCAAGAACGAGGTTCCCGAATATGAGGAGAGCAGATGCTCAAAGACCAGACACCTTGTTGACAAACACCTTATTCTGGCCCTGGAGTCAGGTCCCCTCTGTGACTTGGTCCCTCTCCTCTCTACAAAGTAGGCACACCATGACCACTAACCAGGTTTGAGGGTGACCCTACCACCGTCCCAGGTGGCTGGGAAGGAAATGGGGAGCATCCTTCCAGTTATCAAAACAAAGTGAGTTTGAGGGGAAGAACAGGTCCTCCTCTGATGGACAGTGGGGGAGCCTGCCTTACACCATTCTGCTGTGGTGACAGTCCTCTACACGGAGAGATACGATTCATTCGCATGAGCCTGGTGCCCTTGGATTCCATGTGGCACAGACACAATCTCTGTGGAGAAACACTTACAATCCTCCCTTTTCTCCTTGTCCTTTGTCCTTCCTCATCCCCAGTGCTGTGGTGGAAAGGCTGCACGCTGTCCATGTGTGGTTCGGGACCCTGCCTTTGCCACCCGGAAACGAAGCTGAAGGACGTGCTGGGCTTTCTGTTGCAAGTCTGGCAGAGCATTGGCAAATTCTGTGTAAGTCTGAGAAAGGTCGCAGAACATCCAAAGATGGATGTTCAGGCCTACTGAGAAGGCATGGCCCCTCACTGACCTGTGTCTCTTCTCCTGGGGACTTTGGGTCTGCCATGAACTAGGAAGCAGTCAGGTGCAAGGGAAAGGCAGCTCTACATGACACAAATATCTCAGAGTGAACTTCCTCTGTGGAGTTCACATGGTGTTGGCATGAAGCCCAGTGTTGTGTGAAGCCCTGAAGTGGTATGAAACCCTGTGTTGTGGTGTGAAGCCCGTGTTTGTGTGAAGTCCTGTGTTGTATAAAGCCTATGTTATATGAAGCCTGTATTGGTATGAAGTGGTTCCCAGGAACCTATGTCTTCCATCTTTACATGCTTAGGTGTGCTATGCTCTGTTGGAGATCCTGAGGGGCCCTGCCAGCTGCTTCCCTCCAACTCCTGCAGAGCTGGCTCTGAGGGACAAGGGATGACCCAGGCCCCGATGGGAGCTCACACAGCACAGAGGACCAGGATGAATACCAGAATGTTGTCTTGGAATGAAACACAGAGATGAGTGATAGGAGTATAATTTTGAAGTGGGCTAAAAGGGGTGAAAAACAAAAAGAGCTGACTTAAAATAATATGCTCCAATAAACTTCAGTTTTTATTTAAAAATACCAGAACCATTGATGTAAGCTACTGCCAACCTTGCTCTATAAAGGAGAAACAGTCAGCAAGGCCTTCTGTGCCACTTGTAATTGAGGTGAAATTCAGTGACATTTGCATATTTGCAATGCTGTACAGCCACCACCTCTATGCAATTCAAGGCACTTTCTTCAGTGAGGATCAGTACCCTGGGAACACACTCTGACTCACGCAAATTTTGTTTCTCCTACCACTATAGCACTCGTCTGTGTCTACAGTGTACATCAACGTGGGGTCTACCTAACACTGTTCTCTTACTGCTAACTTATCAGTAGGACCCTCCTGTGAGGAAGAGCCTCCCTCTGTCTCACATGTGCCTTTGATCATCTGCTTATGTCAGCACAGACTCCTGGAGGTCTATGTCACTCCATTGCACAACATCCTGGGGTCATGGATATCTATATAACTCCATGACAGGAAGTCCTGGGGTCATAGATGTCTGTGTCACTCCATGACAGGAAGTACTGGACTCCTGGATATCTATGTCACTCCTCAGCATGAAGTCCCTTTTGTTGTTTCAATAGTCCCTGCATGGGCCATGAATGACCCTTCAGTTGGACTCAAAGAACAAACTATTGTTCTTTGACAAGTGCCCTCCCTCTCAGGGGTAATTCATTTCCCCTTGCCACACAAGACATTCTAAGCTCATCTTGCCTTCTCCATGGGATCAGTGATTTCTGCAAGGACTCCAGGTTCATGTTGTTGGAGAGTGGTATTAGAAATAGGATCCAGGAGCTTGTCCTGGACTCTCGTCTTTCCCAGGACTCTCAGCAGACAGACCCAAGAAACACACATGTGAAGCTCACCACTTGAACACAAATATCAAACACACATATCTGTATTCTGCATCTGTCTTTCTGTGCATCAGAGCTGTGAGTGTACACAGATCCTGCTGATTCTGATCCAGCCACCTGGGGTTCATTGTACCCCTTTCCTTATGAGCTCAGTGTGATGCAGGCTCCTCATCTGCAATGTGCCTGCAGCTGCAAATCTACCTGCCCAAGAAGCACAGTGGGTGATCTGTGAGTGAGGTCACAGCCTTCAGTTGGAGCCCTCACCGAGCCATGGCCCTAATTCCCAGTTACAAGGGTTCTATCTCCCCACCTCAGTGTTATGTCACTCCTCTGTGATATGGCAGGTTCATGTCCGTGTTTCTGTCCCTCTCCCATATCCTGGCTGGAGTAAGGCAATTCCTGGGGGCGGTGGAGGGATGTCACTGTGGTTTGTAAAGTTGTTAAAGTTGTTAAAGGGGCTGTAAACACTCTGAGCAACTGTCACACTCCCCACCCCACACCCATTTCCACCTCTTCACATGGATGACCAGCCTCCAACACCATGGCAATTCCTCCCTTTCTTCCCATAAATGTGCAGGTGGTATTTGTATGACTTTTCTCTTATGTAGGGTGTCTTCCCCTCGCAGAGGTCCTGGAGACACATTAGCTCACGGAGATCCTCCTTGTTTCTCCTACATGACAGGCATGCCAGACACGTCCCCTCTGCCTGTGGTCTGACATGTTCTGTTGCAACCATTAGTGGTGGTGTTTTAAGATCATGCACTCAATAAATATTTGCTAATCAAATTTATCAGTGTTCTGGATTTAAGTCATAGGGAGCCTTTCTGAACCAAAGTTAGAGAATCTGCCCATGTTTCCTTCTAGAATTTCCATGCTTTCATTTTCCACAGGAAACCCCTGGCCACTGTATTATTCTTGGGTGTGGTAAGAAATACGAGTCTTACTTATTCTCTCTCCTAATGGCTTCCCAGTAGCCAGGGCCACTTACAACACATCCATCTTCACCAAAACTTAAAGGCTGTGCCCATGACTCATGTAAATTTTCACCTGTGTCCAGGGACATGCCTGCTTCCAGAATTCCTACTTATATATGCTTTGCTCTTCTGTGGCTTCATAGCTCTGATATGGTGTCCCACTATTTCTGGAAGGCTTTTCTTGGGTAGTGGTTTTTAACATGCTTTTCTCCATGTGGATCCCAGCACCATCTCCTGGTCCTCTTATCTTCTATCACTATCACCTCTTCCCTGGTGAGGCTCTTTCCACCATTTGTGTTCTCCTGACTTTGCTTAGTGCTGCTTCTCACATTTTCACTTGAGACTTGACTGTTTTCTCCTGAGCAATTTATGATTTATTCTTTTTTTTTAAATAGACTATTTTAGAGCAGTTTTAGGTTTACAGCAAAATTGAAAATAGGTCTCTGTTAGCTCACACGCACATGAATACATACGTACACTCTACTCTTGTTAAAATCGTGTGCCAGTGTTGTGCCTTTGTTACAACCTTGAAGCAATATTGATAAATAACTAGTAACTAAAGTCCTTGCATTAAAGTACCCTGTTGGCGTGGTACATTCTGGGTCTTTACTAATGCATATCTGCCTTACAGCATCTTACAGCCTTCCAAATCTGTGCTCCACCATCCCTTTCCCAAACCCTGGAAGCCTATGAACCTTTTCATTTCTGTAGTTCTCCTTTTCCAGAGTGGCACATATTGGGATCATATGTAGCTTTCTCACTCCCTCTGTAATATGTATTTAAGGTCATGTGTGGGGGGTGTCCCGATAGTTTGTTTCATGACCGCTCATTTCTTCTATTGCTAAATTACAGTCTCTCTCTGGATTCACCACAGCCTGTGTATCCATTTGCTTAATGAAGGACATCTTGGCGGTTTTCAAATTTGGGCAATTATGAAATTTTTTAAAGCCTGTTTATGTGCAGGCTTTCCTGTGAACATAAATTTCCAGCTCATTTGGGTAAATACCAAGGAGCTCAGAAGCAGGGTCATCTGGTAAGAGTGTGTTCAGCTCTGTAAGAAACTGCTGAGCTGTCCTGCAAATTCACTGCACTGTCTGTATGTGGCCAGCAGTGACAGTTCCTGCTGGTTTAAAAGGCATGTGGTATATTTATTTATATTTTGAAGATAATTTCATCTTTTCCTGGGTTCCATCAATTCTTTTCATATTGCTCCATTTTGTTTGACAAATAAGTCTTGCCATTTCTGTCAAGGTGGCTCTTCAATGCCTCAGTGCTCTGCATATGGAGTCCAGCAATCCACTGGACACATCGTAATTCACATTCCGTCCTTTGATACTATTTATGTAATCATGAGGTCATTTATTTTGAAGTTTGGAAATACTTCTTTCTGAAAGGCAATAGAGGAACATATTTTTACCTATGGGTCAGCACTTTACGGTAAGTTTTCATCTTATTCCCCTTTTTCTTCCTGTCTCTTTCTGCACAAACAGGTGCAGGGGGCTGGACACCACGTGCGTCAAACAAGAACCAGTGGCTGCAGATTGACCTGGGGGAGAGGATGGAGGTCACAGCAGTGGCCACCCAGGGTGGCTATGGAAGCTCCAACTGGGTGACCAGCTATCTGCTCATGTTCAGTGACAGTGGCAGGAACTGGAGGCAGTACCGGCAGGAGGGGAGCATCCGGGTAGGTCCCCTTCTGTCATCACCCAGGAGTCTGAGCCCTGCACTGTCCCCATGAAGCTTCTAAGGCCTCAGATGGAGGAAAAAGAGCCCACAGAATGACCTTGCCATGGTTCACGTGTGTGCAAAGACCTGACACACACAGTTCAGTGACTGTCTAGAAGGAGATTTGATGTCTTCCTTCTTTTTTCAGGATTGCCCTACTCTCTTCCTTTCCCACATTTTCTGTAGCATGTGTAAGTAATTTCTAAGATAAAAACATGTATGTGAACAGAAACCACTCAGCTAACATAGCAGAATGATTCTATTGAGAACAAACTCATCCAGAGCCTATCATCAACCTGAGCCTTGATTTTGCTCAATGACTATGTTGTATGAACAGAACCATGACAGGCTATATGAGGTTATGGAGTGTGGGCTGATAAATTGCCTGACCTGTACCCTGTGCACTCTGACCTGGGGTGCCAGGGTGGGGAAGAGGAGGGGCTGGGGTCTCCTGATCACACACTGGGTCCCATTGGTCATGATCTTTCAGGACACAAACCACACAGAGGATAAGGTGGACTCATCCCCAGCCATGAAGTCCCACAGGTGCTGAGGTCCCCAGGGAGGCACCTACCCAGATGTAAAGAATATGGTGTCTCTGTAGTGTACCTCTGCCTCATGTGACTCTCCCAAGGGTGTGTATAAGAACTGAAGAGCTCCCCAGATGGGAGAAGGAGTCATCTTACATGAGCAATTCAAGGAAGATGTGTTTGTACAGTATTTACATTAGAGTTATATTTGTCTTTTCTGAAAGTTCAATGTGTTCTCTTTTTAGAAACCATTTCAGACACAGAAGGATGGGCATGGGGTGGTATGGGGAAAGCATGGGGGAGGGGGTCTTGACTCTGGCTCCCAGGGCTGTGGTGAGGCAAAGGGAAAATCTCAGCCTCCCATGGTGCACACAAGCTGAACTCCCAAATGAGGGTCAATTGCCTCTGCTTCCTGGAGACAAAAATGGTTCCAACTTTTGTTTATAAAATATCAGGTGCAAGTCCAGGCATCAGGGCGGATCCCAGTCTCCAGTATGACCTGAAGGTCTCAGCTAGAGTCAGGGGAGATATGGGTGTCGCAGGGACTCAGGGCAGATCTGGGTCTCATGGGGGCTCAAGGATCTCAGATATGGTATCACAAAGAGTCAGGAAGATCTGGGTCTCACAGGGAGGCAGGACAGATCTGAGTCTCACAGGGAGGCAAGGCAGATCTGGTTTTTACAGGGAGTCAGGGCAGATATGGTCTCACAGCAAAGCACACTTAATCCTCAGCCCTACCTTCCCAGGCCTATGGCAAAGCTCTAGATTCCTGCAAGAAGCAGCACTGAACTTTGGTTTACCCAACCCTGAAGGGTCATTCCTGACCCATGAGCAAGGGCTTTGGAACCCATCACTATATACAATTTAATATGTGACAATAAGAACAAATTAAGTCAGTCAATGAATTTTTAAAAAGACATTTTCATCTTGTCAAATGGAAGAGAAAATCATTTTTAAAAAAAAATTACTCAATTTATATAAATATATCTTAATAATAAACATGACTCTTTCCCCATCGTCCTGCCCAACTTTAAAGCTATTTGTTTCTGCCAAGGGGAGAGTGTTGTGGCCCTGCATATTTTTACTGTTTTCTTTGTAATTTTCCCCTTGGGTTCATCCTGATGTTTCCTGCCTGACATTATCTCAGTGCCCTTCACAACCCATAGTGATGATCAGGATTTGTAGAGAGAGCTGACTACCCTGTAAAACAACCCACATGTGTGTGCCTGTGAGCTGTCCTCAAAGCAGTCTTTGCCACCCTGTGTGGGCCACTCTCCTCTCCTTCCCAGGAGAGGACATGACCCAGGTTTGCTGGTGTCAACCATGGTCTGTGAAGGTCCTCTGCAGATGTGTGAAAGTTGATGGCACACATTCAGGGACACCATGGACCTTCCCTGTGATCACAGCCCTGTGGTCTGGTTGAACAGCTCACAGTGAGCATTGGGTGATTAAAGGAGAGTCCATATTCTCATCCACACCCATGTTAGGATGACAGGCTTAAGACACTATGTCCAGCCAAAAGGTGAGCTTCTAACACCAGTGCCCTTCTAGATGGAATCCTCATGCTCTCTATTCAGACTATCCATCCATCTATCTAATCTTTATCTCTATCTCAACACCAGCCTCTTCTGTGGCTCCCACAGAAGAGGGTGAAGTTGACTTCCTTGCCGTATGAGAAGGGATTAAATTTGTATGTAGACATTACTGTTATTTCTTGTTCTGGCTCAAATTGCTGATTCACAGGCTTTCCACAAATGTACAATTATTTATTCTGCTTCAAAATCTCAGGCACTACCTACAAAATTGTTGTGATAAGATACAACATTAGGCTATGAAATAAACTGAAACAGCTGTTTGAGGAATTTACTTGCTTTTTCTACAATGTTAAGTAAACTTGTAATCTTATTGTTTTCAGAGCACTCCATACTCCTGTCTGAATATTGTAGAGAAAAGACCTCACAGTTAGTTCAACCAAGTCAGATGGAGGAGACTGAGACCAGGTTTGTTTAATGTACTTGACAGAGGTCCAACTTGTCAGTGATGAAACTAATGGAAAGCCTCAGATTTTTGAATTAACAGAGGAATACTTCATAGAAGCCCATCTCCTGCCTTACCTGTGCTAATACATGCCACTGTCTTTCCAAGCTGCTGAAGTACTTTTCTTGGTACAGTCATTACTATTTAAATAGGAAAGCTTGGTGGCCTGACCTCTTATCTCAGTGACAAAGCAAGTGTAGCATTTATCAAATCTGTTTTCCTTTCCTGGACCTGTCGTACGTGTATTGGGCACGTGAGGTCCCTTCCTGGACCTGTAATTTCATTTTAAGATTGAAGTGTGAAGCATCCTAATGAGAGTTTATGGTGTGAAATTTCACTTAGGGAGCTGTTACTGGGGCGGGCATGATGCTTTTTAAACACAGGCTGTTTGGTTTCACAGACCTGGGAATGTTCTAAAGTGAAGAACCCAGTGTTTTCCCTACTGGGTCCAAGATTTCCAGCACTCAGTCTAGCGCAGCTGCCCATGTATGCTCATTTCATTTTTGCATTGTAACTTTAAGTTAAAAGTGAAGGTCATCCTCCTACCATGTATGCCCTGGAGGGACACAATAACATCTCCAGGCTGCCTGTGGGTAGATTGGGTAGACAGGGCTACCCTGCCCTGTGTGCTTCATCTACTGGTCTAGGCGAGGCTTGGCTGGCACCACCACCTCTAACCAGTCACATCCAACTGATTTCCACTTCTTTGTCTGGTTTTATGTTCTGTTTGCATTCACTTGGTAGAATGTAAGAGAAACATCAAAATTGAAGGAAAACATTAACCTTTCTGAGCAGCAATGGAACCCTGATCAGCCTCTTTGAGGATGGACTAGGTTTCACCTGGTGTTCTGTGTGTGATGTTGTTGGAAGTATACAGGGTTTGCTGAGTCCCCTACGTAGGCATCATTGTGACAGAGTGGGCAATGGAGGCCCCCAAAGTGCAGTCACCTATCCCCATTTGGGTGGCAAGTCTCAGCCCCTCCTTCACAGCTCACATCTGGACCGAGGCAATTTGCTAACATGAATGATCAATGCCATGTTTGTTAGTTCCTGTTTATTGCTGTGTTCTTTATTCCTCTCTTTGTCTTTCCTTCTTTTTCTTCCCTTTGCAGATTAACTGAGAGTTGTACCTGATTCTTCTTTCCCTCCTGTGCAAGCCCCTCAGTTACCCTTCTTTTCTCCCCACTTCTTTTGGCAATCATCCTAGAGTTCACAAAATGTTCTAAGTATCGGTACATTACTTCACAATGTTGCGGGATCTTATTGAAACAAAATGCCCCTCAGCTCTGCCTGTGTCACTCTGTCCTTCATTAACTCCTACACAAGCATACAGCATATGTCATTGGAAAACCACTGCCGTTATCGTTAGGTAAATTAAGAATAAGAAAAATAAGTTTCATTTTGTCTTCATTTATACCCTTGGTGATCTTCCTGTCTTTGTGTAGATCCAAGTTTCTGATCTATTATCTTCCTTTTCACTAAGCAACTTTGAGCCTGTTTTCCAAGGCAGGACTTCTGGTAAGAAATTTTCTTGGTTTTGTCAGAATTCTCTCTTTAGGTGGCGTCACAAGTTCTGAGTTCAGGTCAGAGATTTCTGCCCTCACCTCCTTAAACAGGTCACCCTCTCTTCCTTTCCAGGCTCTGACTTGTTGAATGTGATGTTGCTCTTTCTTCATCTGTGAGTAATGCATCTTTCCTTCTTTGTCTTTTATTTTCTGTGGCTTGCAAGCAACTTGGGTATATGTTTTGGGATTCATCTTCCTTGGTGTTCTCTGGGCTTCCTGGTGCTCTGGTTTGGTATCTGACATCAAGTTGATGAATTCTCTGTCACTACTGTCTCAGATGTGTCTTTTGTCCATCCTCCCTCCCTCTCTTCTCATGTGCCCAATACATGTACGACATACTATTTGCACCCCTGCCACAGTCTTTGTATGTTCCATTCTGGTGCTTTGGTCTTTGCTCTCTTTGCTTTTCAGTTTTGGGCATTTCTGTTGATATGTCCTCAACCTCAGAGATTCAGTTTCAGCTCTGTAGAGCACACAGAGCTCCATCAGTGTTTTTTCTCAGTGTTCATTTCCATCTGTGTTTTTGATCTTGAGCATGTCTTTTGGCTCTTAGAATTTTCATCTGTCTTCTGACATTGCACATCTGTTCCCCATTCTGCCCACTTATAAGATCAATCATAGCTGCTTTAATCTCTGTCTGATATTCCAACACTCCTGCCCTATCTGGGTCTGGTTCTGATACTGCCTCTGTCTCTTGCATTTTTTTTTTTGCCTTCTACGTGTGTGTGTGTGTGTGAGTGTGTGTGTGTGTGTGTGTGTTTTCCTAGTAGCTGGATGGGAGACCTGCTGTGAAAGGACCTTTAGAGTGTGGCAGAAGGTGGGGAGTG